AAGAGAAAATGAAGCAATAACATACAATTGCCCCTGATGTACAGTTGACTGTAATATCTCCACCATTGATTTCAACAACCTCTCCATCTATCCAAGCTACCTCAGGATCCTCAACCCAAACATGTGTTCCAACAACTACACTGGAAACACTCTGCAAGAAATGGTTAAAATTACTAGCATGAAAATCCAAACAGAAAAATAGGTGTTGAAAATTAGACTATACACTAACCACACCAATCATATTTGTTTTTAAAAAATGTATAAAGATACACCTATCCACGCAATAAAACTATGAATCACGGACGAAGGAGAATAAGAAGAAGAAGAAGAATGGAACATCTAAGTCATGATTTATGAAAACTTCATGGAACACCTATCAATCCTCGACTAAAATCTAGTAATGATTTATGAAAATTTCATGAAACATCTAAGTCATGATTACCATTAATCCTCGTCTAAAAGTAATTACTTATGAAAACTTCATTATTATTAAAAACAAATCTTTCAACAGAGCCATGCTCTTTTAAACCTCAAGAGGATGGAACATTTCCCAGAGTATCTTTGCTCAGACTTGCAATTGTGGGGAGATTCTACTAGGAAAATAAACAGTACTTCTTTTTTTCCTATCTCTACGAACTCTTGTCATTGTTAAGTCAGATATTATGAGATTTTCATTTTTTTTAGTTATCTTGTCTTGTGCCTGCAGAAATCACAGTTTGATGCATGGAAATTATTATATCCCAGTAAAAAAAAAGAGAAAATAGTATCCATTAGACCTCTCCAATGCATTGCTGCACTGAACTTATAAACATGACTTGAAATGTAAATAAATCACATTACCATATCTTCAACTCCAAGAGAAATCAAGATCCTTCTCTATGGAAATTCCTTCAAATCCTCAACGCCTTTAAAATCATGGATTCTTCTCCCTATGAATCCATATCCTACGCCACACCTATGATGTATTGCTTTTTGCATGAATATATAGGGCGGGGGAAAAAGGGTTTTTGCTCTATATTTTGTGTCCAATAGGAGAGGAAGGAGGAAATTTGGGAGTGGCGAGTGAAGGGTTTAGAGAAATCAAATGGGGAAGAGACCCCTGTCGATCAAAATCGTTCGATTTCTCCCCCGATCGAAATAGCTCAAACCCTTCTGCAACTTTCCCTTTCCCAGCGTAAAGACGGCCGGAAACCCTCTCGCTCTCAAATCACTCGCTCTATCTCTCCCGTGCGGCAACAGAATTGAAATGGCTATATAGCATTTTATTCAAAATCTCTCTCTCTCTCTTTCTCTCCCTTGTGCGTAAGCTGTGCTCACGTAAAACAATGCAGGAGATTGCAGCTCCCCGGAGATGCATGGGCAATTGGAGTCGGGTGTACACATATATATAGAAAATAGCTATGCATGAATCAATTTTCAGCGCAGTGTGGCCCACCGTGAAAACACCAGTCTCCAAGCCTACAAGAGGAAAAACTCATGTTAAATTCACACAAGCATGTTTCTTGTTTATCCATCCAAAGACAAAAATATCAACTTGTCTAAAGTATTGATCTTTACTCCAATAGGACAGTCAAGAAATTTTGCTGCTTCTTTCTTAATAGAAATCCCAGTGCGCCAGAATATGTCAAAGAGAACGTCTCTAACCAAATCATGGCGACACTTAAATCTCGGTGGCTCTCTACAATGTACTACATGCTCCCCAAATGGATCCAAACACACCTTGCAACAAAGAGAACATTTCTCATGCATCAACTGAAAATAAATGAATTATGAGTAAATTCACTTCCCGATATTTAATTATTCAATTCCCGAAATCACGTACTCCATGCTCATCATATTTAATTTTATTATTTTTGTGGAATAATAAACTTTTTAATGTAAAGTTTTTATTAATTAGCTGTTATCATTTCTTAACATTTTCATGAATTTTAACCATTCAAAGTTATTTTTCAAGAAAACTTTAGCGAAACTGAATGAAGTATTTTGCAATCTTTCAAAAATAGTGAAGTTCTGTGGTTCCTTCTCACACAATTTTTTGACTTTTTCATTTAAAAATGTGTATCTCAATACTTGAAAAATGTTTATATAGCAAATATGAAAGTCAACCATTTAGACACTATGAACCTTAGGTCCGGACCATAAAAATATTGCACGTGTGAGCAATTCAGTTATGATTAACCAAAATACGGAATACTACGTATAAGTTTTCAGTTGTGTGTAATTGTAATGCACTAGTAGACAACAAACTTATTTGTTGTTGGTAGAATAATATTACTACCTAAAAATTAATGTGTGACTAATATACCTTTTATAGATAACTATAATAAGTTTTGTAAAATTTACACTAAATAGCACCAAAACATATCTTTTTTTCTAGTATAGCACTTAAACTTTTTATATTTCTAAATAATACTTGAATAATACTTGAATAATGTCTAGTGGCAGAAATAATGTCTAGTGATGATGGACATTTAGTTTGAACAATGTCAGTGACGGTGGAAATTCACTGGAACAATGACCAATGGACATTGAGCACTAGTATTACATTGGAAAATAAAAACATATACTACAATATTGAAAAATTTGCTATATTTTAGTACTCCGTATTATTTAGGTAAATTCTCCATAAGTTTATTATAAGAGATTCCTGATATCTTTCTAACACATGAGTCATTTAACGAAAAAGAGGGAGCTTGGAGTGATTTGATGCTAGGGACCTTGTAAGAAAATAGGTCATAGATCTCTCTTCTTAGAGCATTAGCAATGTCGAATAAAACAATGAAATATCGTCATACGATGATCAAGAATATTTTAACCGATCGAAAGGAATCCAGTCAGCGTGTGGCAAGAGAATAGAGTGGCATGCCCTGTAATGGCAAGTCATTTTCATGTTACTTTTTACCCTTTTTTTTTACACATTTTAATCATCAAAATTATTTTAATTATCTTTTTTCAAAAACATAGATGTACTCTTTTAATAATAACTTCTTTTGTGCAAAAAAATAAAAAAATAAAAAATTGAGACAGCCGTCGCATACATGGAATGAAACACAGAGTGGAATGGAGAAGCAACGCAAGGCAACTCTGGTTGGGAACTGATGTGGCAAGGCATGACAAGCATTAGGCTCGCCACTGTCATTGCTCTTATACAGAAAATCTAGAAAATCACGACATTTTGAAAGCCAATGTAAAACGACAAATAGAACTAACTTTCATTTCAATATGTTAAATTAGTACACATCAGTCATAACTAAGTAATTAAACACTTTTAATAGTTAGAGATTATACACAATTAGATCACTTAAGTTCATTTTCAATTAAAGTGTAACAACCTTTTTTGCCTTTTTTAGATTAGAAAAGGTTAATGGGGTATCTAAATTTTTTGGTGGGGGGCACTAATATTATTTCTTATATTAAAAGTTAGATAATAACACTGCTTGTTTTTTTAAAAAAAAATCCATTGGAGGATCGGTCTCTATGTATTCAACTGAACAACATTTTGATTCACAATATCAGCAATGTTTTTCCAATATAATTGGCGTCTGCAACTTGTTGAGACTGCAACCCAATCTTATTTAACAAGTCAAATTCATCCCACCTTTTTTTATCAAGAGCAAGAAAACCAATTCTCTGAACAACCTTTTGATTCACAATATCAGCAATGTTTTTCCAAAAATGTTTATCAGTGAGGCTTCAAATACTTCAATCTCTGAAGATTTATGTTCATCAAGGTTTGAGCAATTTGGGGAGCACTCTGGATCTAGATGGCTTTGAATAGTTTACAGATCTATCTAATGCTGATGGACGAGCGAAATCTCCTGAATGATCACTATGTTTTCCTATTGCTTCATTTTCATTTGAAGCCTGATCCTTCCAAATTCCAGTGTCATTGCTTTGATCAGTCCACTTAAGCCGTGGAAAAGCAAAATGTACAAACTGACGTGCTTGCACCATCTCTATGCCAAGAACTGTCTTCAGTGCAGATTCAAGACCATTCTTCTCAAGAAGTTCTGTAATTATTGGAATATGCCACCACTTTCTCTCTTCAACTTTATCAAAACTCTTGTACTTAATCTGAAATGTTTCATATGCTAAGTGAGAGTACACACGCAAAAAAGACCTATAAAATAACTAGATATAATAACAAGTCAAGTGGTATCACTTGTATGGTAGTAGGATTTGCAACCAAATATCAGAACAGAAATTTAAAAATATTTAGACTCTGTGGCTATTACATCAAGAAGGTTTTACCACGGAGATAGCTTGCAAAGCCAAAGGCTAAAGAGAAAGATATTATTGTTTGGTGCATCATTAAAGATTTAGTCACGGGCCTTGATTCAAGGCATCTGCTTTTGAGTTCTTCCTATCCAGACTATTATTGTATTAGAGCTTGTTCTTTTCAACTTATTCTTATTACTTATTACTTATTCATATTGGAATCAAATTAGATCAGAAACAATTTCAAATATAACTTTAATCAGATCACCAAATCAGATCAGTGTTTATAAAATCAAATCAGGCGAAGAGAACAAGCTCTTAATATGCTATAGCAAAATGATGAAAAAGAATGTTACCAAAATGTTCCATATAGATACTCCCTCTTCCCCTAAAATTGTCATTTCATATGAGAAATCGGAGGCATATAAGATGACTCATCTATGTATTAACTTTTTCCCTGATTTTCAGGATACAAAAGCAACAACAACACAGTTGAATGTGTGTGTGCGTAGACCTTACCCTACTTCAAGATACAAAAGCATTTAATAAAAATTAAAAAATACTAGTATATGCGGGCAACTTTGGAAGATTATTTGAAAATTTGCATTGAATGTGGTTGAAGAAATGTGGTACTATACCTCCAATAGGGTAATATAATAGAAATCCTCCATATGCTGCATCAGTGCACTCCCATCTCTAATAGCTCGGAAAAAATTGATCTCCGTGTTCAATATTTTCTCAATAAATTCCTTCTCGCCTTTCATCTGCATACCCATTGTGAGAAAAAGATGAAAAGATTTATATAAATAAAAGGAGCTTCATATGCATGTATATGCAGGGGCAGTAGACACTATAAATAAAATAAAGTTAAGACAAAAACATGTCCTGATTTGTTGCCCAACATTTGCTTCCCTCAATGATTCCATGAAAAAAAATTGAGAAAACAAAAAATGGAAGTGACATTACGTTAAAAAAAAAACTTGCAAACAGGAACCTGAGGAAGCATGCAAGGTGACTCTTTGGTATTCTTTTCATTAATGTGTATATTATGTAGCTATTGATTTTTCATATATTGACTCTTTCTGTGTCCTCTATTGTGGTAAGTTGCTACACTTGTGTGTGTGTGTGTGAAGAACAATACAATCACTTATGCCTCAAATATCTATATTGTATCGAGCCTATAACTGCTCACACGAGCAAACCCTACTCCATCCCCCCCCCTCTCTCTTTTTCTCATCGCACCCTCTGTCCCTTTCAACCGTGGCCAATTACGAAAACCAAAGCAACCCCCCTCCCCCACCCCCAAATGTGTGGTTTTGCCCCCACTCCAACCACAAACTCAAACGCATCTTCTCTCCATGTGTCTTTCTTTGCTACTCCATTCAGTATCATTGTTACCAATGTCAAGTTCCTGTCAACAACAAAGTTTACCTCTCCCGGCATGAGAAGTTTGTCCAGGATATTTCTCTCTTAGAGAATAACATCTTTGGGAGAGTTGATGAAAGCATGGAATTAAGATATAGAGATATTCTTTTTGACACTCTCAAGCATGGGCGAGAGAGACCAAGTGTGTTTATGAACTTTTGAAAATTGCTCGAACAGAACAATAGTCTCCTAGAAGTTCAAGAGTTAAGTTTTCAAGAATAGGAAAATCTTGCCCAAATCCATTGTATAGGTAGTTTCCATAAAGTAAAGCACAACCAATCTAATAGTTGTTCAGTATCCATACTTGAAAAATGAAAACATATCATAGAATGAATATCCTGAACTGGATGGCAGGCTGGTATGATTGCAGAATAACGTATCAAAATTTGAAAACAATAATAGAAGTTTCAAACATACAAATTCATTGACAATAACATCAGGTGTGGCTTCCCCAATAACATCTACTTGGTAGCTATCTTCTAATGGTTCAACGTTAGCCTGCATTATGTAACAAACAAATCCTTGAAGCCATGAGAAGCTTTTAGAGAAAAAAGATGAAATATATTCAACCATTAGAATATTTTTGTTTTTTGGGAAAGAATTGATAGTGCTAATAGAGGTGATTGTCCGTGTCAGGGTGCATGGTCGAAGGGAATATCATTACCTTTCCTTATTAATAAGTCCCTCCACCATTCGACTCCCGTGTTTGGGGTAATGGAAGTTTCTTCCACAAATGTTAATTCATACATGATGAAGAAAATACTCCTATCCAGCATCTAAGGTATTATACATTGCTTATTTTGCCTTTTTTAAACACTCACCCTACCAACCAAACTACGAAATTTGAAATCATTCTTTATTCTCCACATTTTCTTTTCCCGCATAATTCTTCATTTAATCCTTTCTCATACACCAACCCTAAAGAAGTTGGGATCAAGGTGGTCATGATGATGTACTCAAAGTTATTACAAAGTCTTTGAACATGTAGAATGCGGGGGAACTTATTTTTATCAAATGAAAATTAAACATAAAAAACATGTAAAAAGAAAATTAAGAAATTAGAGTAGCAGTTTATCACCATTGCATTTTTTGGATATCCTGCAATGAGATAAACAGGTTGAGCCACATGGCAGTAGCCCATTAAACGTGGAACTGTTGGAATTATATCTCTGTGATTTACAACCCTCCAGCTGTCTTTGACTTTTTGCAACAAAGAAGCCTAGTATTAAGACCCCACAAGGCACAAGCAATTGAAGTCTGGTTCTAGCTCAAAAATGAGGAGAATCATATTATAGAAATTTTAGCATTTTACTATGAGAAAAGGTTTTTAACTTCTTATAAAAACGCAATTGTCGGATCAGAAGAAAAGTAAACTGTAAACAAACCACTTTCCTTCCAGTATTTCCCCTAAAAATTCCATTAAAAATGTTTATGACAAAGACTACACATTGAAAAGTGAGAAGAGATGATACAGATTTGCTTTACATTCAATTAAAGTCAGAAAGATACTTCACCTTGTTATACAGTTCAGCAAATTTTTTGTTCCCAACTCTGGGAGATCCAAAATTATACACAGTCACAGAGATACAGCCTCCATGCCTACACGCACCCACAGTGACAACTAAATAAAAAATGATAATGAAAAACATAAACTTGGATTTCAAATGTGAACATTTTTTTTCATTAAGGATGTGTTTGATTTGAGAGGGGAGAGAAAGAGACGAAAAGGAGAAAGGGGGTGGCTTTACCTTGTTTGGTTTGTTGGAGGGGAGTGGGGAAATAATGGCTTGAGATTTCAAAGGTGCCTTGTTTGGTGGGATGGGACGAAAAGGGGAGAAAATGCTGACTCCCCTCCCCTTCAATTTTTTGAATCAAATGAGGGAAGGGGAACACTTTACCTTCCTTTCTGTCCACTCCACTCCAATCAAACACATTAAAAGTAAGATCCTCAAAATTCAGCTGAATGCAAAATAATACTCCCTCTCTCCCAGAATTATTGTTCTAGTTTGACTTTTTTTGGTCAAACTGTGACTCTTTGACCATAAATTGTAAAAGAAGTATATTTAGTTATACTGTAAATGTAATATAATTGGATTCATTTAAAGATGTGGTTTTGATATATCAAATTTTTATTACATTTACTTATTTAAACTTATATTTAATTTGTGCTCAAAGAGTATCATAGTTGACCAAAAATTCAAACTAGGACAATAATTTTGGGATGTTGGGAGTAATGATAAAAGTGGGCAAAAAAATTTCTGGATGTCCAATATAAAACTAGCTAATCTCAAATAATATAGCTTTTCCATTAACACAAAGATTCACATGTTATCAATGTTTAAGAAGCACAGTGGTCTATCCAGCAAAAAGAGGTTTAACAGAAATTGACATGCACCGAAGCAAACAACCATCATGAAGAGGACAGAATGTATATAAAACAATCAGTTCAGAGAAGACAACATTACTTCGTCAGTTGACTTGTTGATAATTCAAGAGCAAGGAGAGTAGCTAAAGCACCGCCCAAACTATGACCAGTTACATAAACATACCACTTGGGAGTGGGTTCAAGGTCATCATCTCTGCATTCATTTCATTGAAACCTGGTTGAGTTAATTTCCATTATTCAAATTGTAATTGAGATTATATGATTACAAATGCGTTTTTAGTATAGTTTTGTGGTAGCCTCCTCCAATATGACAGATTTTATAAAAGTAGTCTACATAGTAATGTTGACAACAACAAAAACCTGCCATTGGGTACCTGGGTAACTGCAGAGTTAAAATATCTTAAATAGATATAATGCCTAACACAATACATTAAAAAAAAAGATGACTTCCTCTCAACTACCACAGAAGTTGGGCTTTTAATAATAACGATACAATATTTTACCCATAGTTCATAAAAATAAATTACTCATATTTGAAATGAGTTTGTTTGCATGACTTTGTTATCTCAGAATCAAGCAAAATATATAGACACTCAGGATTAATGAAGAGACTTTAGTTGTCTAATACACTAAACATAGAAAGAATTACAAGGAATATAGACAAGACACATTAAACCATTAGTACATGGAGCCTAGTTCAATAGTACATGCTTCAAGATGAATTATACGCTTGAAGGAGCCAGAAAAAATAACCAAGATAACAAATATTTAAATGCAATCTGAAAATAACCAAGATAAGTATGAGAACTTACACATATCCAACTGCTTGCTTGATAAGTGAGATAAGCTTTGTTCTGACCGAATCATATGCACTTAAAAAACCGCTGTGGACCTGAAGGAAATATAAGCATTTTCATTTCATTAGTCATTATCAGGATAGAGTAACATGATAAGAACTCCAAGAATATTAGGAGCCCTGCTGCATCATTAGTGTATCTTATTTCTATATTCTAATGAGCCTCAAGTGTAGAAAAGGATATATGCTCATGAATAAGAATCCAAAGAAAGGTGCTGAGCTGTCAGAGGATGGAGAAGATACAGGATTTTATTAGTTTGTGCTTTGTAAGGAGCTTTTACAGTTTATTTCAGTTTATAATAAGGGATCTAATACATACCCCAAATTGGCTCTACTCTACCACTCATCACAACACAAGAGCTCAAGGAAGTCAATACCCTAATGTCCAAGTGTTATGAACCACTTTGGGTTAAATTCATTCTTCCCAAAATGACACATGCGCAAATGATCACCGTTATGACCCAAAGCACCACCGTACCCATCCATTTCGGCCTTACCATACACCCCACACAACTTTACGAACTTTCTTATCTACTTGATAAGACATTAAGACCCAAGGTTCAGGTATATCATGTGGTATCAACGCAAAGGTGTTCCACATCCCAAAGGGACCATTAACATGCCCTTCCCTTTTCGAGAACAAATAAAATATCATTAAAGCCCATCTTTGAAGACTTCCCTAAAAAGACATTCCTAAGTCTCACAAGATAAAATCTAAATGAACCAAAGGTTGCACCTCGGTTCCAAAGTTATCTTGATATAATTCATAAATCCCAACCTAATCATTCCAATTCTATATTTTTAATCCACGAATTTCAAATTATGTAGTGAGAAGATACACCTTCCCCCGACCAGATTACACTTGATGAAATAAAAGTAAGAGTACTTCTGTAAAAGTTGAGCCTTTACCTGCAATTTTTCCTTAATTCCCAGATTACTGAGCTATTAAGATACAGTTTAGTATTTAGACTGTTTAATTACAGCAAAATGAAAAAAATTAACTTAACAGTTTCAAACATATCCTACATTTCTTCACCAATCACATATCTATGCTACTCCAACAAGTCCTAGAAGATGGGAGCATGAATTTGATAACATGTGAAGAAAAGTCAGTACGACCATAGCTGATTCGTTCATTCACAATGTTCACGTAAAGGATGCCAAAGAATCCAGACGAACAGCATGCAGTGGTTCAAACAGAGAGTACATCCTAACTGATTACATTTTCCTTTCATCTTGTGTCTATTTAATTTGCTCATTTTGATGTGAATACGATGACTTCCTTTCCTGTTGAGAAGTTTAAGAGTGTTGAAGGAACAGAAAGTTAGAGAGTAATGAGCTAAAAGGGTAGATTTGAAAATGAAGAATAAGTAGATATAAGGTTCAACAGAAATTGGCAAATGAAAATCACCGATGCCAACGAGATCACTAGTAAAAACCCAAGGGTTTTAAGACAAAATTGATCTTGCTCTGGTACCATAATTTATGAAACAACATGAAGGGAGAAACAGAATGCTATATTGATGATAATAAATAAGCACCCCGTATAATTGAAACCCTTGCTAGAGACACAACGATAGCCTAGGATGCAATGCAGTAGATTGTGTACTCACATAGGAGCATATATAGCCTATAAGACAATCTTACATTCTTACCCCACGAATAAAACACAAAGCATTCTTATATTTATTCATTTCCATTATTTCACCTGTGTGAAAACGTATCATGCACCCCTACTTTCAATACTTGACGCATCTGCATAAGATATTTACCGCAGTGGATACTTGTATGCTCTCAAATGCACATAAAAATGATTTGAATAGTTGAACTCGTCTCTGTAAATCTGTGTCCCATATCTAGAAACACAGGCCAGAACACAAACCACTACTTTGCACTAGAGCTAGTCGTGTCTTAATCAAGCCTGGCCCGTGAGGCCATGGCTATGTTAATCTTGTCCACAATTTTCGAATTTGAAAAATAAACTGCCTCCATCCCAAAACACTCTTCACACTTTCTTTTTTGGGTTGTCCCAAAATAATTGTCATGCTTCTTTACACTTTTCCAATAGAATAAAAAATATGTGTGTGACATTAACTCCTCTCTTTCTTCAAAACATTCTACCATCCACTTTTAACTTTTCAACAATTTTCTTAAACACTGTGAAGTCAAACTATTACTAATATTTTGGGAATAAGAGAGTGTTAGTGTTTTATGGA